TCAAATTTGCAGCAAAGACCCTTAGTATAGATGCCATGATAGATACGGGAGCTAGTAAATCATCTATTGAACAACAAGTAGTTCCACCAGGATGGAGCACAACTTTAACAACCCCAGCTTTAGTTAGTATAGTCGATGGCACTAAACAAACATACACACATTGCATCAATGGAGCACAGATTAGTTTTCATCATCTAGGTTCTCAAGATCAGTATATAGAATGGTTTCATTTACCTCAAGTTTGGATTGGAAATACCCGACAGAATCATTCTTTCATCTTAGGACTTAATTTCATACTTAGTTTACAAGGCGGCATGTTTCTTAGCCAACATAACATTAGTTTCTTCAAGCGAACTGTACATACGCCTACAGCATATGCCCTTAGCACCATAGCCCATTCATTAGAGTTGCGTGCAAAGCGTGGTGATACTATAGGAGTAGATTCAGTTCCAGCTAGTTTTTTATTTCCTAGTAGAAATATTTTTCCCGAGTTAGCTAAAAAATATATACCTAATGAGATAGCAAATACTTCTTTAGAAAATTTAGACATAGAAAATTATAAAGATTTAGAAGATTTTGATTTTGAAGAAAAATGAGACTATTGGAATTTAGAAGATTTTCAACAAATAGTTAACCTAGAATTAATTTTTGCAAAAATAGAAAAATTAAAGAAAAAACCTGTGTACAGAAGAACATAAAATGATTTAGATAAGATAATAAGATTAGCTGAAACAACAGAAATTCTAGGAGAACAACCCATGAAATATTGGGAAAGAAATAAAATTTTAGCTAGCTTAGATATAAAAAATAAAGATTACAGGATTACATCAGCACAAATAGATCATACGCCAGCAGATATAGAAGAATTTAGAACACAGATTAAGGAGTTACTAGATTTAGGAGTAATTAGACCTAGTAATAGTCTGCATAGGAGCGTTGCATTTATGGTTAGAAATCATGCAGAGATAAAAAGAAGAAAAGCTAGAATGGTTATAAATTATAAAAGATTAAATGATAATACAAAAGATGATAAATACAATATACTAGATAAAGATCAGCTCATAAACAGAGTTCAGACAGCTAAAATATTTAGCAAATTTGATTGTAAGTCAGGATTTTGGCAGATAAAAATGGAAAAGGAAAGTACACCTTGGACAGCCTTTTGTTGCCCACAGGGACATTATGAGTGGCTAGTCATGCCTTTTGGACTAAAAAATGCACCTTCCATATTTCAGCGTAAAATGGATAGTATATTTAATAAATATAGTTTTATACAATACATAGATGACATATTAATATTCAGCCCAGATAAAAATAGTCACATAGATCATTTATACTTAGCATTAGGAGAATTCATAAACAATGGAATAATAATTAGCAAGAAAAAGATGGTATTAAATAAGCCCCATATAGAATTTTTAGGAATGGAGTTAGGAGATGGAAAAATTAGGTTATAACCTCATATAGTCAAGAAAATCCTAGAATATCCAGATAAATTAGAAGATACAAAACAACTTCAATCTTTTTTAGGAATCCTAAATTATGCACGAATGTATATTCTTAACCTTAGTAAAATAATAGGACCTCTATACAACAAGACCACACCCACAGGACAAAAATATTTTAATCAACAAGATATAGCTCTCGTTAGAAAAATTAAAGACATTTGTAGAAATTTACCATACCTACAACTTCCCTTAGAATCAGAATATATAGTTGTAGAAACAGACGCAAGTCAATTAGGATGGGGAACAATATTATTAGCTAAACGTAGTAAGTATGATAGTAAAAATAAAGAACGCATTTGTAGATATAGTTCTGGAAAATTTAAAGAAAAAGACACGACCATGACTAGCCTAAATTTTGAAATACTAAGAGTAGTATATGCAATAAATAAATTTAGATTATTTTTGCACAAACCTTTTACCATTAGAACAGATTGTGAAGCTATAGTTAGATTTCATAATAAACTTAACGAGCGTAAATTGAGTACTAGAAGATGGGCAAAATTTTTAGACTATATAGTAGGACAAGGATATAAAGTAGAGTTTGAACATATTAAAGAGAGTGATAATAGGTTAACAGATTGGTTAAGTAGGAAAATTTATTTAGAAAAAGAAAATAACCAGTTTAATTTTTGTGCAGATAATGGAGAACAGCAAAACCATGAACTTTGGGGGATTCGCTCTTCCCATTCATGAAGGTAGAAACAAGTTCAGACCATTAACAGGAATAGACCTAGACCCAGTCCAACAGTGTCTTTTAGATAATCTTTGGAACAGTCAGAACCACCCAGCTAAACGCCTTTCAGCCCTAAACTCTCTCAGTATATATTTTTCAAAGATCCAAAATAAACCTTTGTCAAAAAGTTTTTCTTTTTATGTAGTAGCTAAAGGAACCAAGCCCGGGATTTACCATGACTGGATAGAAGTAGAACCCTTAGTTAAAAATTTTCCTATACCCCAATTTAAAGGATTTTATGATTTTGAGTTAGCCAGTACCTATGCCCGAAGACAAATAGGAATCAGTTACTTTATTAGCCAGATAGCTAAAGATTACATGGACACATTGAGCAAGATAAGGTCAACCATTCTTGCTACCAGTGGACTTCCAGTTAGCCAGATAATTGGAAGCAGTAGTACAGACAGTAGTTGTTCTAACCCTCAGATGGATTCTCAGAATCCTCTTCAGATGTGTAGACATTGTGAAGGCCTTTCCAGAAACTTCAAGAAAATTATGGATAGAGGCAAAAAGGTTAGTGAAGAGCTAGACCAGCTCCGAGACGAAGAAAAATAATTAAAAGCAACTGTTCGAACCTGTAATGCCCCGACCCTTCACACGTCATCGATATGGTTCGCTTTGGGCCACGCCCACACGGATTTATTATTCCCAATGGGTCACCCATCCCAGAACTACTCCAGCCTAAGCACGCTTAACTGTGGAGTTCTGTTAGGGATTTCACCACTTGGGAAAAGGCATCGATGCTATATAAGGGTCTAGGTTTTTACTTTTATAGCCCAGGAACTCCCCCTCCATTCCCGATGTAGGACACCAGGGCCTTACAATCCACCCCCCATAAGGCTGCACCGTGCAGTAGCCTGCCAGCTCGCAAGCCCGCCCACATACACCGAGAGACGCCAGGGGCTCACACTCGGTACTCCGGAGAGTCGGTTCTGATACCATTTGTAACGCAACGCCTCGACCCTTCACACGTCATCGATATTGTCCGCTTTGGGCCACGCCCGCACGGATTTATTCTTCCCAGTGGGTCACCCATCCCAGAACTACTCCAGCCTAAGCACGCTTAACTGTGGAGTTCTGTTAGGGATTTTACCACTCGGGAAAAGGCCTCGATGCTATATAAGGGTCTAGGTTTTTACTTTTATAGCCCAGGAACTCCCCCTCCATTCCCGATGTGGGACACCGGGGCCTTACAATAGAATGGTATCAGAGCTTAGGTTCAACCCTTACCCACGCGTTTCGACTTCAAATAATTTGATGATCACCTACGAAGAGGAGTGGTTTTAACTTTGAATAGGGCAACGTGTTTAACATTAGATACAATATAGAAGTAGGGGATATTGTTATGTCTATGAGTCTTCTATTGATCGTCCTACCCTCATTTCATAATTGTAACCTTGTTTGATGTAGTTCACTTCAAGATTAAGTCATTACCATCTGTTCTTACTTTATATTTTTCAATTATACCATTTGCTAGATTAACAACCTTGAGCCTTGATTATACCATCTTGTACGAGAATTTTTCTGAAAGTTGCAATTTCTTTATTCGGTGACGAATCTTGGATATTCAGTTTGAAACGCGGATGGCCGACGCAGTTTCAAGTTAAATATCTAACTTATTCACTATCTCCATAACCTTGACCACATAAAAGTCATAAATCATAATCCATCCGTATTTCAGACGATCCTTGTATTAATTGATGCAATTACTATAATATTCTTCCATCTCCACTTCGTATTCTTTTTATTAATCCAGTTTTCAAAGTCTTGTAGTTATTATTTTTCCTATATGTATATATGTGAAGTTGTATTGTGTGCTTCCCTATATTTGTTATTTACTACTTAATCTTATTGCTTTAAACACCGTAGGATAATTAAACCATAACTTTAAGATTAGATGATTACCCTTGAGAATTGCCTCCGTAATTAGACTCCAACTTACAATCCACCCCCCATAAGGCTGCACGTCCCCGTGCAGTAGCCTGCCAGCTCGCAAGCCCGCCCACATACACCGAGAGACGCCAGGGGCCCACACTCGGTACCCCGGAAGAAATCCAACACAACGAAGATGCAACCTTTGAGGAGGGACTAGTAGCAATTATGGACAGACAAGAAAAGAACTTGCGAGGAAAGACAATTCAACTTCTTAAGATACTTTGGCATCACAATGGTATTGAAGAGTTCACCTGGGAACGTGAAGACGCGATGTGGGCAAATTATTCACAACTATTTGAGATGTGAGGTACGATTTAATTTCAAGGACGAAATTTATTTAAGGGGGATAGGTTGTAGAGACCTTAATTTTTGGTAGTTACACTTGAAACCCTAAGCCTTAGGTTAATTGCATTTTAGTCCCAAATTTCATAAAATTTTACAAAATGGTCCAATAAAGAATAAATTTTCTATATTTTATTTTGTATTATACTTAAATCCCAGAACACCACTTTATAATTGGAAATATCCTAAAACTTGGTTTTTATTTATTTACCTCCTAGTTTATAAATTAATTCATACATTTTATTTTTATTTCTATTTTTGTTTTTGTTTTTGTTGTTCTTTCATTTATTATTTATTTGAATAGAATATTATTGTTTATTTGAATATGTACATAGGTGTGATAAATAATATTTTGGTAGAAAATTGGTTGAAAAACAAAATTAAAAAAAAAAATCTAGATATTTAGGCCTTCCTTAGTTATTAAGTTAGGACCCAAGCTTATTTCCTATAAATTGAGAGCCTTGTCTCAATTCCACACATACACACATATCAATAGCCAAGGAGAGTGTGATTAGGGAGAAGTAGAGAAGAAGAAAAAAAGAAAAGGAAGAAAAAGGGTGCTTTCTTGAGTCAAGGTAAGAACACTTCTTCCCCTCGTCTTCTCCAATTCTTTCACCATCCCATCCTATTGTTAGATTCCCTCTTGTGTTGCATATTAATAGGAAATAGGGTTTTTGATGTATATAAGAGTGTGGGTTTGATTTAGTGACTTTGCCTTACAAATTTGTAAAATTAGGCACTGCTGTAATTTCTCTAATTTAAAAGAAATATCAAATTTATTTATTTCTTCAACCTGAATTTAATGTAGGCTATTTGGTGTGTTTATAGCTTGTGGTAATTTTATTAGCCCCTAATTGTGTGTTTTTAGGGCTTGGATACTTTGTTTAAAAATCTGGTCCCGAGTCTCTGAAAAACAGTCCACTTCTTGCAATTTTATAAAATTCCAGAAAAATCATCTCAGGTTGGTTCTTTAATACAAATTTATTATTTTGAGTCCTCTTTTCAATGGAATTTATTTGGGTGAAAATTATTGGGTAGATTGAGAGGAAAGCTAGTTTTCTCAACGGGTGACAAATCTGGACAGGTTTTCGAATATAGCTTGTAGATGAACTTCTGGAGGTGCTATGCACATTCTGTGAATTGGAATTGAAACTAGACAGGTTATTTATTATTGCTGTCCAATTTCAGCCCCTAATTTGACCTAGAAGTATTTTTCCCAAAGCACTCTTGTTAGCCCTGCAAAACCGAACAGTGCTGGAAATGGTGTTTTGTTGTGTTGTTTGTCTCTAAGTATTTCAAGCATGCCTAATGTTATTTGCTTGCCTTACCATACCAATGCATGATTATCATGGGCTATATTTCATTCCTTATGTTTGTCTCATGCTCTTTTATATTACCGAATTACCGAATATGACTAACTTGCTTGGCAATAGATCTAATAAATAGGAAATGGAAAGGGGTTGGTAATGGGTGACGTTCACTCCTATGCTTCAGAATGATTTATGTAATATACATGTGAATGGGATTAAAACCAACTGAGTTAAGTCTTGCGCAAGTGGTCTAATCGAGGCCTTTTCCCAAGTGGTGAAATCCCTATTAGAACTTCCCAGTTAAGCGTGCTTAGGCTGGAGTAGTTCTGGGATGGGTGACCCACTGGGAAGAATAAATCCGTGCGGGCATGGCCCAAAGCGGACAATATCGATGACGTATGAAGGGTCGGGGCGTTACAGAACCCTAACTAACCAGCTTAAAAAATTAGCTCTAGAAAAAACACTGACCTACTTACCTAGCCCAGAAATCAAACAACTCACCGGTGAGAAATTTGACCAATTGAGTGCTAGAATGTATTTCTTCAGGCATTCTATCATTCAATCTTTTTGTGAGAAAAGCCAAGTAATGGAAGACCTAAAACCCTATATTTACACCTTAGCCGAAGATAGCAGAAATAGCGAGTTAGTCATTATTCAGCATTTTCTTCAGGACCTCTCCATAGCAAGAGTTGACTGCCCTGGCCTAGCTTATCAATGGACCTATACCTATGAAGATGAAGAGCAGCCCTGCTTAGATGAAAAAAAATGCAATAAGAGGTCCGAACATTTTGCTAGATGTCAGTGTAACCTAGACTTCAGCATTTGCCTTTGCCAGATAAATCTAGCTACATTCGAGCCATTGGAGTTAGAAATTAGGGGCGAAACTCATTATCTAACAGCCCCAAAATTGTTAGATTACGGCTTTGTCTCTAGACTAATTTTCACAGAACCAGATCAGACAGATAGCTTTGGACATAAGCTTGTTCATGCAGTACTGTGTGTAATGGAAGAACATCATCCGTATGTAGAAGCATTGATAGATAGTAGATTACCAGAATGGAAGGGAATATGGTGCAATCCAGCTAAACATAAAATGTACCTCAGAGGAACTGCTACATTCCCAGGATACCCAGGACTTCTCAATAGGAGACCCTGGCCATGCAGAAGATTTCCACTCAAAGACCAGCTCAATAAATGGAGAAAATTTGCTAGCGACTCTCTATTAGCATATAATGGAAATTATGGACATCTAGTCTGTGAAGATAGACATCAAAAGATACATTGTAATTTAGCCATCCCAGGATATCCCTTCAGCAAAGAGACATTTGTCGATGAAAGTCAGTACCCTAACTATCAGCATGGCGTCTCTCATGAATCACCAGTAATGGGAGAAAATGACCAAGAATGGTACGATGAACCACCCATGGGAGATGGGGATGACTTTTACGACCAACTCTCAGTAGCAGACCTGGACGACCTCTCAAACAGAACGTATGGATAAAAAAAAAAAAAAAAAAGGTGACACTGCAAAATTCCAAAATTAAGACTCCTATAATATTTTGAAAATATTGTAATAATTCCAAGATTTTTGACTCTTCAAATTTTGCAAATCTTCTACACAGAATCCGCTTTGAAGAATTAGCCTCCAAGCGTCAACATCAATAATTGGAAGTCTAGCAAAAGAAGACAAAATCCGTAGAAGATAAGGCTTCCCTTCAGATATTAGAGAAATGCGCGCCAAAATATTATGTAGATTTTTGTGTTTGTAATTATTTATTTTTGTCGGTAATAAGGATTTTCCTTCACTCACTACTTTAATAGAGCAGATGACCTCCACCCTGCTCCATTAAAGAAAAGCTGTGAGAATCCTTACACGTATCCTGTAATCAATTATAGTGTCAAAATTTTATCAAAAAAGAAGGATTGAATGATATGCGATGGGGCCCAAAGTAGTACCCGATATCATTATCCTAATCTTTTATTGATAGAATTTTATCTATATCTAGAATAGTGATTTGAGTAGTCAAGATCCATAGAAAATCATGTAAAGTCTAGAAAAGTCTATGGCTTAGGCTTAGTAGCCTTTGGACTTTTGAATCTAAACCTTTTGACGTAGAGATATTTCTTTTTGGGTTATATGTATCAACCATGTGTATAAATTGGCATTCATGCCAACGAAAGAAGCAGAATGAAAAAACACCCCTTCACTCTGCATTGTAAAAATTTCCAACCCCGCTCAAAAAACCTCTAAGTGTATTAAGTTTTTCAGAGTTTCAGAGTCTGTAATATAATCTTTGTAAGTATATTTCTTATTAATATGAAGTGTGAGTGTTTCTCTTTTTCCTTAAATATTTCAAAAGGGTAACTCTTCTATTCTAAAAATTTATTTTCTTTTTGGAAAAACTAAGTTTATGGAATGCTTGTTTGCTCATTAATATTACATGCTTTGAACCTTCGTAGTATCTGCTATTTTCTATTTTGTTACTGAGTGATCTTAGCTGAAGAGCTCGTGTTAGCCATGGTTAGGCGTTGGAGGGCAAATTGTAGGCAGAAAGGGAAAGATAAAATTTAGAAAATAAAAATATACTATGTTGAACGAAGCTTAGCTTCAAGGTAGGAGTACATGTAATGAAAACAAACATTGCCAAAAAATAGTTTTTGCCAAAGAAAAGAATTTTAAAATAAAAGGAGAGCAACCCGAGTAGAAATATTAAGGAAATATTGTCCATAAAAGAAATTTACAAAATCAAAACTTTATGCCCTTAGAAGAAAAACTTAGGATTAAAATCAAAATTAGTACTGAACTCATACAAGAATTAGAAGAACAAATATCAAGATATCAGTTTCTTTTATCATTAGCTTCTGGCAGATCTTTAGAAAATTACAGTTTAAAAATTTCTCAGATAAATAAACAGCTAACTGTAAAACAAGAAGCCTTAAAATTAGCCATACAATAGCTTGAAGACCTATTAGCATAACTGTAGAATTAATTAGATAATTCTCAGCCCAATTTCAAATATCGTAAATGATGGGATTTATAGTAGAAGTGTTTCCTTCTTAATTGAATTTTAAAATAGATTATGTATTGCCTTCTTGAAAGTTATAAATCATGAAATAAGTAGTTAATATAATTGTTTTGGTATTAATAAATCTTAAAATGTGATTTTATGAACTGTTTAGTTCTCTCTTTTTGCTTATGAACCTAAAGGTTTCAATAAAGTAGATATTACACAAAAGGATAGTAACTTACATGTTTGAATTTAATTTTTTAGGAATAAAAGTGGATTTCTTCAAATGTGAAATTATACATTTAGGTATTCTGCACTTTAAAGGCTTTAGATTTTCTCTCATTTTGAAACAAATCTTATATTATGGACAAACACGTAACATTTCAATGTAACACACCAAAAAACTCTTTAGTATACTTTTTCCAAACGTAACAATGATACACTGCAAAAAAAAACTCCTTAGTATACTTTTCTCAAACGTAACACTCCAATGTGTACAAAAATACTAAAAAATTCATCAATGTACTTTTCCTAAACGTAATACTCACAGTTTGAAATTATGCATAACCCAAAACTTACTAAGAAATTTTTGTACTCCTTTTGAAATAGTTTGAAGAATCTCACATCCTTTTTTGGACTATTACATTAGAGTATTAAGTTTGAAAAAAGTACACTAATGAATTTTTTTGTGTGCTACATTAAAGTGTTACACCAAGAAGTTTTTTTGGAGTGTTATGTTTGAAAAAAGTATACTAAGAAGTTTTTATATTGTTACATTGGAGTGTTACGTATGAGTATTACTTAGAACGTTATCATTTGAAATTATACATTTACCCAAAGCTTAATAAGGAGTTTTTGTACTCATTTTGAAACGTTTGAAGAATCCCACATTCTTTTGAGATGTTTGAAGAATTTCTTTGAAACGTTTGAAGAATCCCACATTCTTTTGAGATGTTTGAAGAATTTCATATTTCAAGTAATTCTTGTACTCCTTTTGAATTTTTTTCAAATAAAAAAGATTCTCATATAAAAATTCATCATAAATTTGATTTTCATAGATTGTGTATCTTACATTTCTAGTACAAAAAATAAAAAATAAAAAATGAAAAAAGGAGACATAATAGAAATAAGGGTATAATCATAAATTCAATTTCTCAAATAATATATTAAATCTACATTTCCAAAATTAATGAGACTAATTGGTCTATAAAAAAATTCTTGGACTAAACGTATCATCATTCCTCAAGATGAAATTTATAGGTAAATTTTTCTTTTTTTAATTGTTTAAAATTAAAAATAAAAAATAAAAAATCAAGCAATTAAGTATACTGGTTTGAAGCTCTCAAAAGGCTTATCAATAAAATGTCTATGGTATGAGATTTTAGAACTCTGATAAGACTTTTTGTTATAGATAGATATAAATGTAAATGAAATTTATTATAATTTTTTAAAAATATTTTATTATTTTTATTTTTGTAATTTTGTGTGTAGCACAAGATTTTTGCAATTTGTAATTATTATTATTTTTGTGTGTGTGAGAATAAGAGATTTAAAAATTTATTCTAAAGAAAAATCATGTGTAGTTTTTTTAGATTTAAGAAAAATCATGTGTATGAAAAGATAGAAATATATGTGCACAAAAAGTCAATTTTTGAATATTTAAAATTTGATATCTTTATTTTATATTATGGTAAATTGCTTCATATATTTAATAGCAACATAAATATGCATTTTGAAAAGAATTAGTATATTTTTCTTTTAAAAACCATAAATCATGGGTGCCTATATTTACAAACCACATTTTGTCTCAAGGCACACCATTAATTGGTTATTTTTTATTACAATAATGACCTTACATAAAATAACCAAAATGACTACAAAAGAATATCAATACACACCTTAGTTAAATACACAACATCCAAACCCTAATCCTAGCCACCATTGTTGCAGCCACAGCCATTTCACCGTCGCTGCCTCGTCGCCCCTCTCCAGCTCTGGCGAATTCTCATCACCACAAACCCTAGCCGACGATCTCTCTCTCTCTCTCTCTCTCTCTCGCGCGCGCGCGCATGATCTATATTCTCACGATCTCCTAGGTGGTAGGTTAAGGTTAGTGACAGAAGGGAGACGCGACTAGGCTAGGAAGGTGTGATAACCCTGTCTCGTGTTATGCTAATTGATCTTAATTATAATTGTGATTATATTCTTGATATGGTTTTGAGTGATTATTATATGATTATTTGTGTTTTTGTATTCCTATATGTTCACCATAGAAAATCTGTTTGATTTTCTGCTTTAGAATTTAAATTGAAGGTTGTAGAAGCATCAGAAACTGAAATTGACTACGTCGTTATGATTAGCATAATTTTTAGAGCCTACGACGAAATTTAATTGAAAATTGATTCGGATCAAAGTAATTAGATTCAGAATGATTAAATTAGAACACCATTACTTAGTCTTAATCAAATTGATTAGCCAAGCCTATAAATTGGCCTATATATACTCAATTCCTTCCTTTGAGCTCATCTTAGCTGAAATTACACTCTAGAGAGAGAGTGTGTGCCGATTGTAGAGAGAGAGGGAGCTCACATTAGAGATTTGAGCTAAGAGCTTGGGGATTTGGAGGCTAGGCTCAAGAACTAGCTAGAATTTGGGAGATTGGAGCTCTTAGGTGAGTAATTAAGCATAGATTCATAAGTTTGAGTTTCTAATTTTGTGAATTCAAGGTTAGATGGTAATCAAGAACAAAAATTGAGTTGAATTTGATAAATTTGAAGCTTGTATGTACATGCATGTAAAGGATTATCATGAGCTTGCATAATTGAGTACAAACATGCATTATATGAAGAATTGAAGGCTATTTGACACATGTAAACATGATAATGTTGAGTTTGATGAAGATGAGCATCAATTGTGTTATTTAAGTTGAAAATGAAGCCTATATTTCACATGCATGTAAAATTCAAAGTGATATGGAAATTAATTTGGATGAGTTTCGAAGATATGAAGTTGGTATGGGTTGTCAAGAAAAATGTGAAATAATTCAGGAATTGAATTGTGATTTTGGACAAATTAGACTTAATTTTCTTATGTCCTCATATTGTATAAAGATTTCCATGATTTTGTATAAAGAACATGAGCTTTAGACCCTTTGAATGCTAAGTTTGAGCGTCAAATGCAGTTATGGAAATTTCAAAATTCGGCATGTCCGCTCGAGCGGGGAAAGCACCGCTCGAGCGTAAAATGTTAGCTCCCAAAAATTTTGCAGACATTGATGTCCGCTCGAGCGGGGGAAAATTACACTCGAGCATCCAGTCACATGTTTGACTCTCAGCTCGAGCATTTGAAATCACGCTCGAGCGCAAAAATGAGGTAACCAGAAGTTTTGCAGACATTGATGTTCGCTCAAGCAGGGAAGAATTACACTCGAGCGTCCAGTCACATGTTTGACTCTCAACTCGAGCGTTCGAAATCACGCTCGAGCGCAAAAATGAGGTAACTAGTACTTTTGCAGACCAAAGGGGTCTGCTCGAGTGGCAAAAGCTGTGCTTGAGCGGAGAGCCCTGTTTCAAAAATTTTAAAAAGTTGTTTTGTGTTTCATTTTCCGTTCTTTTCCATTTCTAGGCACTCTTAGGCATGCATTGAGCTTTGTATATGACCTAAAAGGCAAAGAAAGAAGCCTAAGAGAAATAAATAGATTAAAGAACGGATTAAATTGTTTTTGACCCAATATGTGTTACGAATTGTGTAGGGTCGAGTACAAGGACGAATCCACTGGCAGAACACTATGAGTAATATCTTAGTAAATATATTTTGAAGTATGCTATTTGTCCAATTGCTTACTTCTATTTGAGTTTCATAAGTTTGTCAATTTGAATTGTGAACAAATATTCGTTATGCCATATGATTGGATAAGGCCGTTGGATTACAATTATGATTATGGTGTGATTATGATCTTAAGTACGAATGCGCATTTCATAAACGATTGGGCCAAATGCCGTCTGACATGAATAATTGGGCCAAAGGTCGTTTGACATGAATGAATGGGTCAAAGGCCGTTTGATGGGAATGATTGGGCCAATGGTCGTTTGGCATGAATGAATGGGCCAAAGGCCGTTTGATGGGAATGATTAGGCCAAAGGCCGTTTGATGGGAATGATTGGGCCAAAAGCCGTTCGACAAGAGTGAATTGGGCCGAGGTCGTTTGACATGAATGAATTGAGCCCGAGGCCGTTTGTTTAGAACAAAGTGCGAAAACCTGCATTTAATTATTCAAAATATATATATATATAAAATAAATAACAATAAATAAATA